CCATGTGCGCACACCACCTCCATAAATTCCCTAGTGAATCCATTCACTTCGTCATTTCTATTTATCAACCCTCAGTGAGTCTCACTCATGCTCACAAAATGACGAACCATCCCGCCATCCATACTCCTCGTTAGCTAGTGGGTCACCACTTTTCATCTTCCACACATACATCATCCATCTTTCATAGGTAACCTCGTGCCATCTCCCCAAAGTAAGTCCAAACCACCACCCTACTCACTCTATGGCCTCAACAGATTGCCATCCATCTTCACCATGGTCCAGCTATATGACCCTAAACTATAGCGCACGTCTTGGCCGCATGATGTTAAAAGGCTTTACACAGGTCCTGAAGGTATGACCCTAAACACGCCTAAACAAAAAAGAAACTAGCGGGCATGGCGTATACCTGGACAAGGGAATGTCATGAGTAAAAATAACAGATAGGCATGGTCAAGAAACCATGAGTAAAAGAGTTCCATAAAAAAAAACATCTGGGCACGGTGAAAACCTGAAAAGACACCGTGAATAAAAATAGATGAAAAGGGTGGACATGACCGAAAGGTCATGGGTAAAAGAGCCTTGAATAAAAGGAAGTTGGTGAAAATCGTCTTTACGACGCCACTTCCCTAGTCAAGGTGAAAACCTACAAAGGGCGCTTGGACCAACAAAAAGCAAGTTGACACAACATCACAGTCTCAGCCTGCACCTAATTGCCAAACAAGAGTAATTCTGACTAATGAGGTCCACAATAAATCCTCAACTGCCAACATCCAATCATTGCACAAAATGGCTCACCCGAGAGTGAGAGCCTCATAAGATCTCCCACACTTCAACACCAAAAACAAAAAGGAGTCCCTGAGGGTGCGGGGGGTGAACAATAAAGCCCTCAAAATGCTAATGATGCTCACGAAGGCAAGAAACTAACAAAGTCAGGGCAGAACCTATTAGAGACTTCAAGGTGATGCCTCGCCATGAGGCCACATCGCCAAAATCCCTCCCTAGCCGACAAGCCCTAACCTTCGAGATAGGCCAACAAAAAGCCCCCGACTGGACCCCGCAGGATGAGGGCCCACAGAGGTACCTTGATTGTCAAAATAAAACATGGTGTAGCAGCAAACAACGTTGACTGAAGGCTCATAGCACTTGGCTGCCAGATAGACTCGATTCTAGCGACTGAGGTCCACACAAATGCCTCAGCTGTCAGAATCTCAATTAGTCCCTTGAGGGTGAGGACTTCGATAATCCTTCAAAAGTCTCTTAGTCCCCTAAAGTCTCCACGGATGGACCTGTACATTTCATCCAAATATCTGATCATCCTAGTCACAGCATTACGTGGATCTCCTCGGCAAACACGTGGTCCTGTGGCTAGGAAGAAAAAGAAATAAAGTCAGAGCAAAAATTTTCGAATGTTGTCCTTCTCGCTTCTCGAAACACAACATTCGGCAGGGCATGCTATTTTAAGAAAATTTTCAGCACCATGGGTCCCCGATGCAGAATAAAAAAGAGAAACCGGTCAATAAAGCCTGACAAATAGTGAAAATTTCGACAGTCTCAGAATGGCCCCAGAACTGGTCAAGATCTCCTCCAAAAAGTCTTGTGCCAAGTTTCATCGCATTTCGACATGTTTAAAGCAGTGTAGACTGAGAAACTATTATGGCAGAATCAGCCTCTAGCACCCTGAGATGGACGCCTATAACTAGAACCCTACTTTCGGTGCTTCAAACAGTTGTGGGACTACTGCCATTAGATCTAGCATGGTTGAAAACACCCAAGGGTCAAATTTCAGCTTAAACAGACACTCCAAGAAGAAGTTAGGGGTAGAAAATCAAAACAGGAGGAGCCGCACACTATTCATGTGCGGCCACCCTGCAAGCAATCACCATTAAAGGGGCAATCACGAACAATGACTTGCAACTCTCATATCTCACTCTTTTGAGGTCGGATCATTCCCAAATTTTGTGAGCGTATTCGTCTTGTCAAGACAAGCTTTTCGATATGTGGCACGCCCCATGACGATGCCCAAGTGAGAAGAAAAGCTAGAGAGAAGTTGCCGATCTATGAAGGAAGTTGCAGGAAGATCAGCAGCGACACGCCTCGCTCGAGCGGCCAAATCAAGGTTCTCGCGAGCCCGATCAATGTGAAACTAGTTGCATCACATGCATCAGGTCCATGACTATCACTGGCCTGAACCCCACGCATGATAAACAATCATATTTCGCACACAAAGCCGATGAAGTGGCTATAAATTTTGGCACCGAAATTTAAGATTCTGGCCAAAACTCAAAAGGTGTGAAATTTTCGCCCGAGCACGAAATCAAGCTGCGTTTGTTGCCATGCAATCGTGACAGCATGCTCAGTGTGATCTAGTGAAGAAATCATGGAAAAACATCAAGGAACGAGCACGCTATTGACTCGAAGTTTATAAGATCCATTCAAATTTCAAGTCATATGATCATGGTTTAAAAACACGATCCATGACTTGAAGTTGGTATCAAATCGATCGCCATGCCAAGTCCTACTAGAAAACAATCATCTTTTGGACAACAGACACTAGAGCAACCCCAGATCATCCATGAAAGATCATGCACATTCTAGGGTAGCAGTAGGGACTGTTCTGAAATTTTCACAATTGTTAGGAATGGGCAAATCAGTGATTTTTCACCCTATTTTCTATTTTATTTAATTTAGTTAAATTTTAATTTTCAGCAATTAAGTTTAATTTTGATCAATCCACCCATGTTTGGGCAAAACTCTATATATATCATGTACTCTCATTGTACAAGGGACCGAACTTTGCTTAATAAAATCTCCATCTTTTCTCATTGTTGGGTCATGACTTGAGCGAGAGAGGAAGGAGAGCGAAACTTTTGGGATGGTACCCCTCAGCTTAAGGTAAATCATTTTCTCTCTCTTCTCTTCTTTCCTCTCTTCTTCTCTTTCTTCTCCTTCGTCTGAGTTTTTCTCAGAGGTTATGCGCGGCAGTGGCAGTGTCGAGCATGCCTCTTTCTTTCTTTCTTTTCCCCTCCTGTGGTTTCACAGGTCGTACATGGTGATGGCAGTGCCATGCAGAGTTCTTTCCCCTCGCTTCTTTCGTCTCTATCTCTCAATGAGGAGTGTAGACGGCGATGCCTATTGCCACTCACAGGGGTGCCACCCTGTTGCGTGCCTATCGCAGACGGTGATGCCTATCGTCGCTCGTGAAGGGTCACTGCAATAACTATCGCCATCCATAGGTTTCTCTCGTGCCCACTACCCATCGCAGATGGCGATGCCTATCGTCGCCCATAAAGGGTCACGGCGATGCTTACCATCGTCTGCAAGTTGTTTTCGTGCGCTCGACGTCTATCACCGTGCGCGAGCTTCCTTCATGCGCTCGATGTCTATCGCCGTCAATAAGTTTCCTTTCATGCGCTCGATGCCTGTCACCATCTGCAGGTTTCTCTTGTGTCTCACACCCACCGTTGCGTGCTTCATAAGGATTTATCATCGCACGCTTCATAGGAGGCTATCGTCGCGCACTCCACAAGAAGCCATCGCCGCCCGCGAAGGGATGTGTTGCCTTCTCGTGTTGCCAACGGCCATGCCTAGCACCATTTGTAGACTGCTCACCCTCTAACTGTGAGCAGTAGCATCCAGCGCCGTCCAAGGGCCATGACACTATTACTCCACGACTGTGGGTGGCGATGCCTAACGTCGTCGGGACCCCATCTCTTCGTCGTCTCGTACCTTCTCTTCATTGCCTTCTCTTCTCACTTGACTGAGGGTAGGCTTAGTCTAGCACTGCCATAGCGGTCTGGCTGTCAAGCAGTATTGCCGTTGTACTGGCCTGAGTACCATGCTCGTCTTGCTGTCACACCAGATTAGGACAGTCATACCGGCCTTGGTTTCGAGTACGATTGCTGTCGTGCTGGTCCTGAGTTCCATGCTCATCTTGCTACCACTTCGATCTGGTCACTGTCTAGCTATCATGCTAGTCTCATTCCTTCATCAAGTTCTCTTCTCTTTTCTACCTTTATTTGAGCCTTCCACTTCATCACCCTAACTTCACCATATGAATATGCATTGCCCTAAGACAAGGGTGGGTCCTTCGGCCCACTTGTCTTGTAAGTTAACCATGATAATGTTATGCAGAAAACAAAGAGATTGCAGATCAAGGGAGGCGATTCCGAACCTGTTGAAGCTGCTAGGGGGATTTCTGTGTTCTAAGAGGGCGTCCATGCGAGTTAGCCCTAGTAATTTACAGACCCAGGTGAGGTTGGTCCCCACCTCACATATCAAATTCCTCTCTCACTAATTGAGCACCTGCTCTTGTCCTATGAATAAGGTTCCCGAGATAATGATCTCAGTCTCGGGTCTTTTGAACCCCAGACATGCGTCACCCAATCACCTAGATCTGGGTAGGCAAGATCGAGGCATCCGACCAGCATTCTACATTTATCAATAATGCATATTGTAACAAGTTATCTAGACTACCTATTTTTGAGATTTTAAATGTTTATTAATCTACTAGATCTAGACTATTTTTTAAATATTAAGTTTTATAACTAGGGATGAAAATAGATTTTCAAACCATCATAAGGTCTCTGATACTAGAACAACAGCTCTACTATAATTTTAGAGATGTGCCTTACTTCTACAGTATATAATGACATTTGTATGTTGGACTCTTAATGAGAAGATGATGAAAATAATACCAAGCTCCCAAGATTAATCGCAATGTCGTAAGAAGTTTCCATTTTGAGATGAAATATATGGGAGAAGCCTCACATTAAGATAACAAGAGATGGAAGTTCAAGACTTCTATGTTTATCTCAAGAAAATTATTTAGAAAGTATTTTAAAGAGATTGAAAAATTGCAAGCCCATAGATACACCCATTTATAAAGGCTTGAAATTGTCAAAGAAAATGTGTCCATTAAATGACAGTGACAAAGCTAAAATGGAAAGAATTCCATAGCTATAGGATACATAAATTATGTCATGTTGTGTATAAGACCGGATATGAGTCATTCATATGGTCTTGTGAGTAGATTTCAGAGTAAACCTGAGACGGCTTATTGGCAAGCTGTAAAAATGGTACTCAGATATATTCAGAAAACAAAAACTTACAAGTTGTGCTTCCAAGCTACAACTTAGAGGTTATTAGGTACTATAATGTAGACTTTACAGGAGATGCAGATGATAGAAAATCAGCCTCAGCATTTATATTCCTCTTTGGAGGTGGATGTGTTTTTTGGTCTAGTAAGAAACAAGGTTGTGTAGCTTGGTATACTATGGAAGCTGAGTATATTACTTGTAGCATTGCTACAACTTATGCCGTTTGGATTAAATGCTTCATAAATGATTTGAAGCTGGATATAGCCGATGGACCTGTTAAACTTTTTTGTGATAATCAAGCTATTTTCTCATCAATTATAAATAGAGCTTATAGTTCAAAGGATAAGCATATTGAAATTGATTATCATTATATTTATGATATTATTGGAAAGAATGAAATAACTGTAAATTATTTATTATCTTCAGATTTGATTGTAGACCCTTTAACAAAAGAATTAAGTTCAAAAATATTATCAAAGCATGTAGCTTTGATGAGACTTAGAAATATCTAAGTCAGAAACTCCCAAAAGAGATATTTTTCTTTTGATATCTTAGTCATAAGAGGAAAAGTCGTATTAACGTGAAAAAACCCATGGCATGACTTTGAATATTTTTTTATGTTATGAGATGCATAACTGCATTAGCATGCAAATCCTCATAACAAGAATATGCTCATAAATGTTAAACTCACTAAGTGGTATAGACTTTATGATATTTCAATATATTTGGCCCTCATGGCCAAGTGGGAGATGTTGGTATGTGTGGGTGGCCATGGGCTATTAAACATGCTATATTTTTTTCTCTCTTTATCTTCATCGTATATTTTATCTTTATCAATAAAAAAGGCATTCTTAGAGAGAGAAGATGCAATTATCCAATGGGTAGAAAATAACTACCCACCTCCCAGAATTAGAGGGCCACATTTCTCAGAGATTTCAGGAAGAAGTTAAACGTTGGAGAACGACCTCCTCCCGTCCCTCTTTAAGAAGGGTTTCATAGCTATAAAGAGACACAAGGCAAAATATAGAGTTCTCATTGTTCTGGTATAACATGGCCTCTGTGATCCACAGTCTTACAACATTGCCATTAATCCTGAGAACTTGTTATTATTTTCATTATCTTCTCATCAAGAGTCCAACGTTGTCAATGGGTACAAAACTATAAACCCATTAAATTGCTTTTATTCTTCTCTCTCTAGATACTAACCTATTAAACTGCATTTATTCCCCTCTCTCTCTCTCTCTCTCTCTCTCTCTTTCTCTCTCTTTTTTTGAGTAGTCTTGTAGTTAACTTTAGTTGGGTCTTCATCATCTGCTTATTGTAATGAATTGGTTACATTTTTTTTTAAATAGTAGTTATTTAATTCAATTAATTGGTCATTCTTCTTCTTCTTTGTAATTGTTGTTATATGCATTACTACTATTTCCTATTCTTGTTGTTGTAGTTTGAGGGCATGGTTTGTGTTATAAGGAAAACACACTTTTCTTTGTTTCGAGATTGAGTGGTTTCTATGGGGTGGATATTCATTGTTTGATGAACTTGTGCATTAATTTTGAGTTTTTTTCATGGTATCCTGATCGATCTCACTCTTACCCATGCAATCTCTTTCTCCCCACGATCTTCTTTTCGGATTTCTTCCCACCATCTTCTTTTTGGATTTCTTAGCTCTTGCAAGACTCGGGCGAGTACACTTGAACTCGACCGAGTTACTCAGTAGGGGGCAAATCCATAGCGTGAGTAGATTAATTTAACATAGTTCATTACATTATTTCTTTGACTTTTTGCATTTCTTAGAGCATAGCTTATGAGTTCATTGTAGACTAACAACAATCAAATCCTTGCCATTGCTTATTCGTTGAAAGAAAAAAAAGAAAGAGTGTATTAAGTATGGGTGCAGTTGGCACACAGAAGCATCCGTAGCTGTAGAGGTAAGGTGCACCTTCAAATTTTATCACGGTATATAACTTTGAATATAAAATGTTCTTAGGATTATCTCAAAATCTATTTCTATATCTAATTATAAAATTTTAAATTTCAAAAATGGTTAAAATCAATTAGATCTATAAACATATGAAAATCTTGAAAATGGATGGTGTAGATAATATGTTGTAAAATGCACTATTTTTTAGACTTCAAATCTTTTTATTTTTCATGGTCATGCATCTCGATGTCGAGATAA